TGTGTATTTGGCCTGCATGCGGAGGGGTGTGGGTAAAAGGTTAGGTAAGCGAGCAGGACGTGGAGCAACAGTTTTCTGACCGTCGCCGTTTTAATGTTATTTTGTGTTGTAACATAAAGGGAATGTAAACGGAGCTCCCACCAGAGGCATTTGTTTTGTACCTTTCGATTTATATGGAAAATAAATGTTTTGCCCCTTTTTTTCTTCACCTCGTTTTTGCTACCGGAAGGCATCCAAGCTACTAAACAAGAGCACGAGTCAGAATCTTTACGTCCTGCAGAAACGGCAAAGAGGGACTGAAGGTTGCCGTTACATTAGTCTTAAAGACCAGCACTTATTTCTATGAAGCATTTCACCTCGAGTCAAACTGAAAACTCAAGTTTCTTTGGTGCCAGACAAAAAGCTGCTGCAGATCTGTACTCTGAGTCACTTTGTTCATCCGTGCTTTCTAAAGATTTTAAAACATTACATCATTTTTAAATACACTTTTTACTGAGTTTATTTATTTGATTGTTATTTCTGTCCTCGGCTGAACTACAGATTCATTTATTGTTAATAGTTTATTTAAAATACTTTTTAATTCATATTTATTGGCCATTATAATAAAACATTATTTTATAGATGGAAGAAGAATAATAATGTTTTATTGTACAATTCATTAAAAAGTCGTGAAACTGACCATCAAACATTTACAGCTCATATCCTGTCGTATAGTTTCTGTGTTGCTGGGATACTGAGTAAGGATCATGTGACTCATTGACTCCACAGTAAACACGCTGATGAACGTGTTTAAGGACCCATGTGCTCGTACACGACGCAGCTCTTTGTGGAAGCTGTTAGATTCACCAGCCTCTGCTTCTTAGCTCTGCTGAGCTTCACTCAGTGATGCTGCTGAGTTTGTTAACAAACCAACAAAAATCTCTGATGGTTTTTATTCTCTGGAACAAAGTGTTTTACAAAACTATCATTATTGTTCCTTTCACCACTTTGGTAGCTTTAGTTGGCATCGTGCCTTCCTCATCTTCCTGTGAGACAGCACTGAGGGCTTCAATAATCTGCAGCCCACGCAGCCCTCCCAGCCCACCCAGCCCTCCCGGCCCTGCTCACATGTTCAGACAAACTGGGAGGTAGGCTGGGCCGTTTACATACCAGCCTGCCAACCAGCTCAACAGCATCAGATTCCCAGCCTGGACCCTTTAACATCACGTATCCAAGGCAACTATTAAAACCACATGGGCACCTTACACTGAGGAAGTACCACGTTTCACGTTCATGCAAACACCTGAGATACTTCTGCAGGTTTTCATTACTGATGTGTGTCATAAACATCTCCATGTTTATGACTCGGTTCAGTCGGTTTCTATCATTAAGTATCATCATCCTCCTATATTTGAAACAGTTTGGTGATGTAGTTCGTCTCCATCACAGCTTTTCCTGTAAATACGTTTGTTTTGGTGGCTGTTATTGTAAACTGGAACAGTGGCACGACTGCTGTTTCCTAATTATTTATGCTGGTTAGTGGTTCGGTGGAGGTGGTTAGGAGGTTTGAGTCTGAATTCTTGGTTAAGTTTAAACTTTTTCAACATCTTCTTTTATCCTCGTCATTATAATTACACTCAATATGATCTTCAAGTGGTTTCAGTCAGACCCGTGGATACTTGGGGGACAGATGAAATCCAGATGTTTCACTTGCCTTCCACAGGATCCGTCTTACTCCGGGGTGATCTCCGTCTCCTGATGCACGACCACTTTGGTGACAGACATATCTGGGTGCTGCTCCTTTGCCTCTTTGATGGCCTGGGCCAAAGCCTGCAGAGTAAACACCACACTCCTAAATGACCTGCACAACACGCACCGCAAGTAACGAGCATGACTTTCATGTAGCATATATCTACTGGACATACTGCTCTGTGGGGTTAATCTGGGCCTGCACTTAATCCCAGGCTCACTTATGTGGTGCATTTCCTGTAAATCAGCGTACGAGCTAACACAACGCTAGACCTTTAAGGAAAACATGAGCAGCAGTGAGAAATGCTCCATAATGAATCTGAATTTACCTTGTCATGATCTATTTCTGTGTCCCCAGTGATGACGATTCTCTTTTCAATGCGAGTCTCAGAGATCCCTCCTTTCACCGTCTGTAACAGAGATGTGACACAAAAGTCTGAATCCTCCCTCTGTCTTCATTTTTCCTCTGAACAGAACTGACGTGAGTGAAATGACAGTGACTGTGTATCCTCTTAAATCCTGAGGACCTCACACCACATTCACCAGCGTGAGGCCAGAAGACGCCACTTACTGAGTGGAAACTTCTACACATTCAGTTCATTTCAACATTAGCAGGTAACAGTAACAGTATAAGAGTATGGAAACAGTATATCAAACGTATCAGCATCAGTGTGTCAGCTGAAGGAAGCAGATATAGGAGAGCATGTCTTTCACATGAGATTGAACTGTTTCTGATGGAGACTGTGAGAGCTCAGAGGCTCGGAGCAGAAGTCTGATGGCCGCGAGGAGACAGAGTTATGTGACTGTTCGATTAGACACTGATCCAACAGCTGATCACAAAATGTACCTGACTGAATCATCTGAAGTGATGTGCCAGTTATCGTTACCCTGAAACAACGATGATCTGACTGTAACAAAGTCCTTTTGTTGCCTATATTAGATCAGCAGCATTCATGAGTTTGTATCGGGCAACTTTTCTCCCCTTCAGTGGGATGCTCCACATGTTGGGCTGTTACATGAAAATACTAAAAGATAACTATGTAAAAAAACGTGGTATCATCTGAGAGTGTTGTTGTTGGGAGAGACCAGGATGCAAATTGTCACATCTGATTTAATAAAGCACACCACACT